CTTTCTCTTTTTCTGATTTTTCCTTATTCAAACTCTTTTTCTTTTACCCTAATTACCATATAATTAAGTATAAAAGATGGTAAAAGTAACCCACTAATTAATCCAAGGTTGTCTCCTTTAATCCCCAAATAATTGAATTATTAACATTAAACCCCTAACTTTATAATTATAAGCAGGAATAGTCCAAAACGTCCCTTAAAAACTTTTAACAGAAATCTGACCCAGTCAGGGTTACGCAGTCTGTGACGGGTCGTCGTGCCTGCGACGGTCCGTCTTGCTGAGTTGTCACAGAGTTCAGAGACTGAATTTCACTAAAGGGCCTGTGACGGTCCGTCGTGCCCACGACGGTCCGTCCTGCCATGTCGTCGCGAAGTTCAGAGAGTTGTTCTCAGTACCCAATTTTTCAGAATTCTAAGTGTTTTGGAACGAGACACCCTCGACGGTCCGTCGTGCCCATGACGGTTCGTCGTGGGATCCGTCGACCCAGACAATTATTACAAGAAATAAACTCTACTGCTCAAAACGACTAACAAGTCGTTACACATCATAATTATTATCCTCAAATACTCGAGGTTAAAGAATATAATCTCTTAGAATATAAAAATTTCAATAAAATAGCAATATCTCATATTTTATTAAATTTTTAACTCGCTCAACGACAATAAATTACACAGATTATTTTAAAATGCGAGAAGAAGAGTAAAAGATTAAAAAAATTGTGGTTGAAAAACAGATTTTAAAAAATTGTGGTTGAAAAATGAGAACAAACTCCTTTATTTATAGTTAACAAATGATAGTTTGAACAAGTGTTTTATGTGTCTTATTTGAAAAGTCATGACCTGTTCAAGAAGTCACAACTCTTTGAAAAAGTCACAGCTTATTTAAAAAGTCACAACTTTTTAGAAAAGTCACAACTCATCGAAAAATCACAATCCTTTGAAAAAAGTCACAACTCATCGAAAAAGTCACAACCCAAGTTAGGGATATTATAGTAATTTAACAGTCAAGTTAGGAGTTATTGCTTTTAAAGTTATATAGATAGACATATAGATAAATATAAATATAAATTTAAATAGATGAGATTCTTGCAATTATATAGTATATCTTTCAAAAAAAAGTGGGGCCTCAAACATTGCTTTAGTGACCTTATGATCGAGTTAATCTTGATTTCACATAATTTAACCTTTTTTTTATCGGGATAAATATAGTTTTTAAGTAGGGCTATAGGAGTATTTTGTCGAAAAAGTAACAGAGTTACTCCCTCCGTTTCAAAAATAACGAACTCCTTTTCTTTTTAGTCTTTTTCAAAAAGAGCGATTTTTTTTAACAACTTTCCACGTGGCATGTTTAAGGGCACAATATCAAATGACATTTTTGTGTATTTAACCTAACTTTAATTTAATACCACAAGATTCTAAAGTCTTCTTTTTATTCTTAAACTCCGTGTCAAGTCAAATCAAGTTATTCTTTGTGAACTGGAGGGAGTAATATTTTAAAGCCCTCTTAAACTTGAAAAAAAAATCTTAAAGGAAAAATTACCTAACTACACGTTCTTTTTACCCTATTTTCTATTATTCCCCACCATATAAATGATATACAAAAAAAAAAATCCCCACAATTTTTCTCACTTTTTTGGATACAGCACTGTAAACTATCATCCCAATTTTTTATTTTTATTTTTTACCTAAAATCATTTCATGGTATCATAAATTATTCTCATCACTCTGAATTTCAAATCTTTTCTCTTATCTATTCGGCCATAGGCGGTAGTTGATTATATATATGTTAACTAGGTCCTTTTTTTTTTTATATATATATTTTATGAAGTGAAGTTTATGTAAAACACAATCGTGTTTATGTGTTGGGACTTGGGAGATCCGTAGTTGAGATTTGAGAGTAATTTGATGATTTTCCTCAAATATAATTTATAATTTGCATGCATATAAAAGTATATAAGTTAAATTTCTCTCACTTTATCGATTGTAAGTTATTAAATAGGTAGAATTTTTACGTTTATTTTTTTCTTTTTACTTCATCATATATCAATTATTTATTTTTTTTAGGCTTTTTATTTATAAATTTAGTCGAAGAAGGATGTATCCACTGTCCACATGACATTTAACGACTTCCTTTAATAAGAAGGACACTTTTGACCTAAAAATTTGACGGAAAGAATAGTTTTGAGTCGAAATATAATTTAAAGATAAATATGAACTATTTCAGATAGTTCAAGGGTATTTTTGACCCATTTCAGTATCATATAAATATGATTCAAAATTAATTTTTTACTAAATATACAAATTTGTCATTCTTTGAAATTGAATAAAAAGAAAATAAGTCATATAAATTAAATAGAGTAATGTTTTTGTGATATATGACATTAAAAGTAAATAGTTTCAAAAAGTTCATATTTGAAAAAAAAAAGATGATCAAGAGTCTGTTAGGCTCAACTTAAAAGTTGGTCAAACTCACTTAAAAGTTGGTTTTTGACTTATTTAGTTGTTTGGCAATACTCAAAATAACTTATTTTAAGTTAAAAAAAACTTATTTTAAGCCAAAAGTTAAAAGCTGGGATAGGAGTGTTTTTTTTTAGCTTATAATCTGTTTTAAGTTGACCATATTTTTACCTTTTTGCCCTTAATATTTTTATACAATCTCCAAATTACCCACATAACCCTAACATCTCTTTCTTCCACTTTTCCCTTTTCACGTTTGGCATAGCTGCTGAACTTCTTCTTGTTCTTCCAATTTGAAGTGAAGATAAACCTTGAAGTAAGTTTTTTTGATTATTTTTTTATTAGCTTTCTTCCTTTTCTCTCGATTGATGCCGATAATATGTTGAAAAATCAAAATCAGCTGAAAAAATTCTCGATCTATGCCGATAATATTTTTTTGATTTGTTTCATTTACTCATTTTTGGTGTGTGGTTTGTCATACATACGATTTCTGAGATATTTTCTATTTCGTAACTGATTTATTTCTGAGATATTCTGTTTTGTGTTTTTGTTATCATGTATTTTTTTCCTGTTTAATTGATTTTTAACTGATTGTTAGCTAAAACCATAAGTTTGAATGCTTTTTTTTCTTAAGTTATTAGCTTGAGAAAGGAAAATGCAGTAAATCTAGTTTAATGTTATACTAATGAGTAGATTTTAGTTCACAACCCATAGGGAAGATGATATTGTATTCCTTATCTACCACATAAGCTAGTTTTATGGAAACAAAACTGAAATTCGAATTGAGAGTTGTATAATAACAAGGCATTGCTTGAGAGTAGTATAATAAACTCATGCTTCAATATATTATCTTGGCCACATTTGGATTTGCATTTTCCTCCTATTCTTGGAAACCATAAATGCATGTTTGTACATTTGTTAATATAGAACTTGTGTAGGATCATAAATGCATGTTTGTACAGAACTCATGCAGGTTTTGCTATCCATTTTTTTTGTGTTGGAAATATGTATACATATATATGTTGATTGTGTGTACTATATATTTTTCAGGGCTTAAGTCATCTGTAGCCCCTTAAAGTTGTTCGCATAATTCATTTAGACACCTTAACTGGGGCTAGTACCCATTGAACACTTTAACCTTAAAAAAATTATATCAATTAGACACAAAATGTCTATCACCAGAAAAACAAAAATGCGTGAAGTACAAACACAAATATATAACAAATATACCAATGAAACAACGACACGTGGCGGTTAAATTCAATTTTTTTAAAAGTTCTTTTTAAAAATCCAAAAATAATTTTATGAATATAAAATTAACTCTTCTAATTAACTCCCCCACCCCCACCCTCTCGTCTTCTTCGTTACCCCATTCTGCCGGCGTTAACACGCTAATAGAATATCATCTCATTGTTTCATTCCGTTTTATCAACTTCGACAACTCCTCCTACATAATGCCTTCATCTTTTTTCTATTGACAAATATTTATCACAGTTACAAGAAACAATAATAAACTTTTTTCAAAAAAATTGATTCCGTTTCTTTCATCAAAATAAATAGAGTTCAAGTTAAAATATTTAAAACTTGTAAAAAAAAAAGAAAAATGGAAGAATAGTTGGAGAGGGTGAGAGAAAGTTAGTGGCATGAGAGGTAACCATGGTGGATGGAAATCGTTGGGACTGTTCCTACGAAGACGACATCTTTTTATTTTATTGTTAGGTGATTGTTTTTGGTTTCTTTATTAATTAAAATGTCAAGTCAATGATGTAAAAAAAAAGTACTTTCCAAAAAAATAAAATGAAAAATGTTATTTGAGCATCTTTACGCGCCCATGGAAAGTGAAGTACACATTATTTGCTACATCACTATTTTGTGCTTAATAGATACACATTTTGCATATTTAAGTGTTCAATAGATACTAGCTCTAGTTGAGGTGTCTAAATGAATTATGCGGATAACTTTAAGGGCTACAGATGACTTAAGCCTATTTTTCAGTCATATAAAATTATGGGAAGTAGTTATTTTAAATTTTCTTATCAATTTCATCTTCAGGTCAATTACACCATGTGTGAAACACAAACTAATGCTAAGTGGGATAATGATGCCCATCTCAAATTTATACAGTTATGTGAATTAGAGATTAGGAAAGGAAATAAATCAAACACTCATTTTTTAAAATAACTACTTATTTTAAAAATAAGTTTTAACACTTTCAAATATATTTTTTTAAAACTATTTTTATTAAATCCATTCAAACGGCCCCAAATCATTTCTAATTTCTATAGGTGTGCATTTAATAAAGTATGACTTTTCTGTATTTTTCAAATAAATTCCTCCACTTCTTTTATCTTCTCAAACAAGCTTCTCAATGGTTTTCCCTCCAAGATTTCATCATTTTCATTTCCCTCCCAAAATTCAAAAAAACTCAAATTTTTAAAACTTTGATAGCTTATATTATATTCCTATATAATCTCATCCATATTTTCAAATCTTTACGTCAATTCATAGTCCTTTTCCACTATCCATTTTTTTCCCTTTCTACAAATGGCTTTTTCATCATCTGCTAGAAACCCAGTTGACCTGAGAAATGGATCGAAGAACAGTTTTTGTCCGGTGGGTGAAATACATGTAATTGTTGGTCCTATGTTTGCTGGAAAAACCACTGCTCTTCTTCGCCGGGTCAATTTGGAATCCAACGATGGGAGGTATTACTACTAGTATTGTTCTTGTTGAATTGTTTTGTGTGGTTTTTTTTCGTTGATTGAAGTTTATTTGGCTTGAACCGGTGATAAAGATTTAGAAATTTCAAAATTAGGTTGAAAAATATTGAAAGTTGTGATTTTTTTTTTTAATCTCTGTGTATGGTACATGAAAATATGTATGTGTGCAGTTCCGTTTATGGTGAATTAAGCAGAAAAGAAACTGAAAAAAATATGAATTGGTTGAGTTTATATTACAGATTGGACTTTTGAGACAAGATTCTTTGCTATATGACTGAGAAGTAATCTGGGGTTTAATGGATTTGAGGTTGATCAATATTTAAAAAAAAAATGGGTTAGGGGAAGGGGAAATGGGCCGAGGTATTACAAGGTGGAGAATCGAACTCACACTAGTAAGATGAAAATATCGATAGTCAATCAATTGAGCTATTAAGATTTTGTAAATGATCAATATCTAGTGTTGGTTTTGTTATTAGAATTTTTTGTGGTGAATTGTTCCTTCTAATCTGTAAGTTTGGGTTTTTAATTGTGTAAGCAGAAATGTGGTACTGATTAAGTCAAGTAAAGATGCAAGATATGCTGTAGATGCAGTGGTGACACATGATGGGACAAGATTTCCATGTTGGTCATTGCCGGATCTTTCATCTTTCAAGCAGAGATTTGGAAAAGATGCATATGAAAAGGTACAAATCTTGTTTATTACTTCACAACTCAACAAACTCTTATGTTTGACTTGTTAAGACTTTGTATCTATTGTTGAGAACTTTTAGATTGCTGATGGGTGTGTGTCGGATTCTTCAAAAGTAATGCGTTTTTGAAGGAGTTGACATAGGTGTAATATCATTTTTGGAGAGTCCAAGCAATATAGCCTAAAAGCAAGGATCTTTGTACAGTTCAGAACTTTTGAGTACTACAGTGTTGAACTTGGATGATTGATGATTGGGTGATGTGATATTCCTAGTATTGTACTGATATTTATGCCACTAATTGGTGAAAATGAGCAACCTTTACCACACATTGTTGGGTAGTATTAACAGTAGAAATGAACACCAACTTCATATTTTGATGGGAATCAGAAGATATCTTGTGTCTCTTCACTTGCACCTAGTTAACTTCTAGATTAAGACTTGGATGTGCTTATTGAAATCTTCTTATGAGTGCAACTGTGCAAGATTTTTAAAATTAAAGTACATGATGCCAAAAACAGCTGTAGTATCAAGACGGTATCTTTCCTGTCCAAACCATGAGAATTTGAGGGGTGTTTTGGAAAGTATCATCTTGCACAGTATGAAGAATGAATACTAGATACTGTTGCTATTAAAGTCAATGTTCTTTATACTGCAAATATGGGATATATGTGAATTGTATAGAAGGCAGAAACGAGGGCCAGATGCTGCAAACATAGAATATGATGAGTAGACAAGGTATAAGGGAAACTTGAAACACAATTGAGGGTCAAACTAAAGACAGAGCAGTAGTCAGAAAAGAACTTAGTAGGTAAAATGAATCACGCAATTCACCTTAACTTTAGTTAGCTTCTTATCCTAGTAACTCCATTTCTTGATAGGTGGATGTGATTGGCATCGATGAAGCTCAGTTCTTTGGGGACCTTTATGAGTTCTGCTGCAATGCTGCTGATTTTGATGGGAAAATTATAGTTGTTGCAGGCCTAGATGGTGATTACTTGAGGTACTCCTGAAAACTATTTCTGAATCTTCATCGCATACTCCATTGGCCATTGCTATTCCATTTGGATCTCTGAACTCAGTTTTCAGATCCTACTGCTCCTTTATCAGCTTAAAAATGGGATTTGGAACCTATTTGAGCTATAAAGAGATAAAATTCACAAGTAAGCCACATTTTAGGATATAATCAAAATATGCTTAGTGTAGTTTCCCCCCCATATTTTATCAAAAAATTCAATTAGTTATTAAATCCGTTATATCTAAATTTTAATACAAGACAACTTTTTCTTGTCAATTCTGTAAAGTGGAAGTTTTTCTTATCCTTTTATGAAAAAAGATTTACTTACCAACTACTTTTCACTTTCTTCCTCAAATTTCCTTTTGCATTTGTATATGCTAAATGTTTTCTTCTTACTTTTTATTTATTTACCATTATTATACTATGTGTATCCCAATAACTCTTTCATAATCTAGCAATAAGTCGTATAACAACTGTACAATCAAGTCTAACACCTTTAAGAACAGTTCAAGAAAACCTCATAACACAAAGTAGCTATAGTTAGCTAAAGATACATTCATTCAACAACATAAATATAACAATTGTTGGGGTATAGGAAAACTTTCACCTTATAGTTAGATTATGAAAGAGTTATTGGGTACAGAAAAAGAAACTACACAAAGCCTATTTTAGTTACATCTAAAAATGCGACTCATTTGTGTCAATTTGATCTCTTTTTGGCTTAAATAGGTTCCGCACTCACCCAATAGTTTTAGTTCAAACCCGATAGCAGTGCTCTTACATGGTATCTGGTGCTTGGTTGGTTGCAGGAAGAGTTTTGGTTCAGTGCTTGACATAATTCCACTTGCTGATACTGTGACCAAGTTGACTGCTAGATGTGAGTTGTGTAACAGAAGGGCATTTTTCACCTTCAGAAAGACTAATGAGACAGAGACTGAGCTTATAGGAGGTGCTGATATTTACATGCCTGTTTGTCGTCAGCACTATGTTAATGGACAATCTGTCAATGAATCTGCAAAAATGGTTCTTGAATCTCATAAAGTGTCAAATGAACTTATCTTAGAATCACCACTAGTTGATCCATAATACACTTGTGTTCCACTATTTTATATTATCATGTATCTTAATTACCTAAGTATGTAAGTAAGTAAATGAACTGTTTTGCTGAAATATGATATATATACATATAACCTGTCATCCTAGTCGATTCAAATTTGTTTAGGATTAAAACATACTACTAATTATTGTTGTCATTAGCATTTGAGATTCAATCAGAAAAACAATTGCTATTGAAGAGTTCTCTTGTAATTGAAAAAAGTGAGAACACATATACTAAAAGAACAATAGGCAAGACAAAAGTATGTTAAATGAAACAACATAAATGAGAGAGCCCATAGAATTTGACAACCTTAACACTTAGAGTTTGTTTGAATTGACTTATTTTAAACGCTTTTAAAAGTAATTTTATAGTGTTAGGTAAAAAGATAAAAATACTAATAAGCACTTATTCTAAAGTTAAAAGTAACAAAATTAAGGCAAAAGTTAATCCAACCATACTCAAATCATACGTTTCAGCAATCCAAATTCATTTAGAGATTTTATAAGATTTGAACATTAGAATTACCTCAAGTACAAACAAATAAGTTTTAAATGGATATTAAACATAACAAATGTGATATTTCAAATGTATGATCCTTTGATTTGACTTCAACGGATAATTATATTTTTCAACTTTGAGTATGTACAAGTAAATATTTAAAATTGTATAAAATTGAATAAGTAGACAAACATGTCCTACATGACATATGACACAAATCGTCATGTAGGACGAATGTGTCAATTTCTTCAATTTTATACAAGTAAAATAAGTATTTATATGTGTACATCTAAAATTAAATATCATAATTATCAGTTGACACTAAATTAATGATCATGTTTATGTTTTATATTTTTTTTCATACCTAATAATTCACAAATGACAATGGTCTACTATTACGATTAATTTGATGAACAAGCATTGGAACAATGAATGGTTAAGATTTAAAATATTAATCAAAAAGGATAATTGGTTCTTCCACTTTGATAAATATTTTATTTTATTGTACTATGTGTATTTATTTGTTATAAAAATAATTAAAAAAAAAATTAAGAAAAAAAAACTCTTATTTCTCTTTTCCATTCCTCATTTTTGTGTCTCTTTTGGACAATCGGTTGGTCGCATCTGCATATGAAATTCCAAATTAGCCCTCAACCATGCCGGCCTCAGCATCATCGGCGCCGCCCCCTCCGACTCACAGCCGTCGTGAGGATCTGATCGGACGGTTGAGCTCTTCCTCCACCGAAGCAAAACTCAAAGCTCTCCGTGACCTTAAGAATCAGATCATCGGTAACCGTACGAAAAAACTTTGTTTCCTCAAACTCGGCGCCGTTCCGTCTGTTACCTCAATACTCTCTTCCTCCTCCGCCACCGCGGCCGCTTCTGCTGCTGTTTGTTCTGGTAATGACGTGGAACTCAACGATTCGCTAATTATTCAATCCGCTGCTGCTATTGGTAGCTTTGCTTGTGGCTTTGATGATGGTGTTAAAGCCGTCCTTGATGCCGGTGCATTTCCTCTTCTTCTTCGCCTTATTTCTTATCCTAATGATAAGGTAATTTCAAATTTTGAGATCTTCTGTTTTGGCTCCATTATAAAGAATGTCTAAATTAATTAAAAATTTATAATTGCTTAATATCTTCTGTTTGTCTGCTATCTCTGTACTCAGAATAGGTTAAAAAACTTGTTTTTAGTGTACAGGTTAAATCCTAATTTCAATTTTTGAGAGTTTGTGTTTTTTGGTGTTTACTGATAATTTAAAGCAAATTATAGTGGGCAAGAAGTTTCATGTTACTTGATTAACTTATATATTGTGTTAGACGTGATGGTGGAAGAAAAAACACTGAAGTAGTGTAAAGGTTAGTTTTATACGGAAAAACATTACATCCAAATTTACAAATTGGAAGGCAAGAAGTACTGTGTAACAATCTTTGTTTCTGGTTTGTTTATTTCATCCATTTTTCAACTTGCTAAATCATTAAAACAAGAAAAATACCGGTTGGGTGAAATTAATGGCTCAAAGTAACATAGTTTTTGGTGGGGAATCGAAACCTCACTAACAAGGGGAAAGCTCAGATTGAGCTACTAAGACTCCCTAGTAAAAGACTTATGTCTTATTTTGATGATCTTGGGCTCCCTTTAGTCCCCGAAAGGTGTTGGTACAAACCTAAGTTTATTTGCTGAATACATGTGCGGCCCCTCAAATTTGTCTGAGTTTTTTATTTAGGCACTTATACTTTGCCTTGTACAATTGAACAGCTGAATTTAAGTCAATCTGTGTAAATTAGATATGATGTGCTGATGAAGTGTGTATACTTACCACCCTTAGTGCGGTTAAGCATTGAGAATGGCTAATTCCATTTGACTTTCCTTTTTATTGTTTCTTTCAAATTTCTCCTTCATCCCCACTCTTTCTTGCACCTATCTCCGCTATTTTTAACCACCATCCACCTCCTCCTCCCACTACCCTTCCCTCTTCCTAGTCTATTAGTATCTCTCGCCAAAAACAAACTTACTGTCTGGACAAACCATTCCTTCTTCATCTTCAGATTCAAACACCATTGTTGTTGGTAAATAACCTCTAGGAAAAAATGGCAACCCAAATCTGATTCCCATTTTGAAACTATAAAACCTTTTCCGTTTTAAAAGACAAAAAGTTGGGTGCTAAGCTTGGTTAGGGTCCAAGATAGATTTTTTTCCCAGAAAAGGTAAAAGTTATGAAATTTAATGATATTTTGACCCTTTATCCTGGAACATTGATCATAGTTGTGTTAAATGCAGGCCGTGTTAACCCCTAGGCCACTACAACAATCGCTTGGGGCCCATATTTTGGGGAGCCCTTTTAAAAAGAAGAGTATTTATCCATATATTTTAAAAATAAAATATGATGTACTTCTAAATTTCTTTAAAACAAAGCGAGTAAGAAGTAATTATTCAAATGGTTATTTCCACTTCCTTAAGGGAATGAAATAAATTTTGGGAATTATTTCCTTACGTGGGGAAAGGAGATTGTACTTCCTTATTTATTTACTAATAATTTGATTATTTACCATATATTTATCATCTTGTTCTCTATTTTATTACTCCTCCGTTTCACAAAGAACGGTCTAGCTTGACTTGGCATGGAGTTTAAGAAAATAAAGAAGAATTTTGATCATGTGGTACTAAATTAACGTTATGTCAAATGTACAAAATTGCCCTTTAATCTAGTGGCCTTAAACATGTCACGTGGAAAGTTGTTATCAAAAAAAGGAAGATGTCATTCTTTTTGAAACATACTAAAAAGGAAAAAAGAAAAGAGGTCATTGTTTTTGAAACGGAAAGAGTATAATATTGAGATTTCTCCTGCAAAACTTATTGAGTGGATGTTTCTTACAAGTTACAAAAGAGCAAAATTGTTTTTTGGTGTCTTCATATTTTCAAGAAGTGCAACAACCATTATGCTGAAAGAATGCTACACTATTTTAATATCTTTTTTTTTGTCTTCTACACTATTTTAATATCTTTATGACAATTTATCAAATTCTAGAGCCAGGTTTTGTTAGTTTAACTTTATTTTATAGTTTTTCTTGAAAAAAATTTATTTGTGATATTCTTAGTTCATAAGTATACATATTTTTGTTTTAGTTATTGTAATTTATCCAATTTAAGTATGTCAACTTTCTTTTTTTTTTATGACATGGAAAACCCGCAGCCTCTATACTTTGGGTGCGCATAGGGTAAAACTCCTGCTCCTATGCAATAGCTAGCAAACTACATAGAAGAGGTAACTTGTACTAGGCAAGCCCAATGCGACGAGCCCCTTGCTTTCGTTAACAAGAGGTTTCGAACTTGAGACCTCCAACATGGAAGTTCCAAGTCCAAACCACTGGGCCACCCGAAGGGTAATTTAAATGTCAACTAAAAAATATGATTTCAATCTTACAAAAAGGAACGAAAATTTGAAGAATTAAATATATCCCAAAAAGGGCACTTGATAGATTTTTAATAAATAATAAATCTTTAATAAAACAATATAGGGGATGTTCTTCAAATGAATAATTCACTAATATAGTTGAGTTAGATGATAATTACATTTAAGGAGAAAATCTAAAAGAAGTGTGAAAAATGTAGCATATTCCCGAAAATCTAAAAGAAGTGTGAAGTGTGATAATTTGAATTGTTGCATCTCTAAAATAAATGTGACAATTATTTTTTAAAAGAGAATGTAAATAAATAAATAAAATATCAGGGCGCCTCCATGAAGTTTGGCTTTAGGCCCCTAATCTTATTGAGTTGCCCCTGGTTATATGGCATATCTGTGGAATAGTGTCTAGTTCATGTCTTACATTAGAGAGATCACGACTTCTAAAAGTTCAGTGACTAGAGCAGTGCCAGAGAGAAGAACTGAATTAGAAGAAGAGTCCTAAATCAGAGTTGAGTTGCTGGAAAAGATTTTGTTGCCAGAAAATTTATGGTGAGTAAACCAGATTCAACATCGATTCTTTATTTTAACGCTTGTCAGCAAAGAGAGAGATTGTGGGAATAACAATAAACAGTGTCGTTGAAGAAGAAAAAGAAGAAAAAAAACAAGGAAGAAGAAGGAAAAATGTGTACCCCCTCTTTTCTTTTATCTATTTGTCTTTTTTAATTTTTTTAATGACCGTGGTGTCTGACCAAACTACTAGTTCCACGGGATCTCTGCCACTCCCACTAGCAACAAGTACCAGGTAACTCGGTGCACCAAGGCTAGGACAATCACGTAGTGTTTTTTGTCTCCACATGGAATTGAACATGAGATCTTATGGTTCTCAACCATTACCACTAGGCTACCACTAAACCACACACTTGGGGTCTCTTTTCCTTTATTTTTTATTGACACGTTTCTTTGCATGTGTATTGCCACTTAACTTGCGTGTCAACTATACAGATTTAAACTTTGCTGAAGATTGAATGATATGTGTCTGTCTAATTGGCACAGTAAATGCATAGATCAAGTGTTCAATAGGTCAT